TATGACCTTTATAGGGTCAGTTTGATTAAAAACCCAACCATGGGGCATCCGTGGCTGAGTGGTTAAGGTTGTTGACTTCAAATCGTTGGCCCCTCACCACTGTGGCTTCAAATCTGGCCAGGGACTTTGAATTCCATTTTGTAAAGAAGCTATCCAGAATGTTGATGGTTTTACTCAGGTGCCTTTTGTGTGTGAAAAAATGTACGGAGAGGCACATAGGGTCTTCTTCCACTAGGCTGGACAGTCGCCATATGATCTTTACTGTGTTGATGCAACGTTAAACCCATCCAAAAAAGATTAAATAAAACAATAAAACCTAAAGATAAGTTACTGAATAGAAGAAATGTTCTTTGACTTGTATTTTAGTGCAAAATTGTCAAACATTGCTTCAGGGAATTTCAGTATCAGTCTGATTATTTTGATATGGACAACATGTGCTAACATTACACTATCTATTTATCTGTTTTGATTGTTACAAGATTATTTATAAGTTATATAGAGTATGGACTAGTCTGATGATGCAGACTACTCTAGGTGATGTACTGCACATGTCCAGTTTTGGTGTTCACCAAAACCTTGGAACCAGAGAGAACCTGGGTTATGGTGATGGTTCACTATTTTAAGTTCTCATCTTGTATAATTGAAACTGCTGTGACCATAGTTAGCTTTCCAAACCTTGCAATGCATAATGTCTGGCAAATTACTAGTGGCTTATGTCATAGTGCTATCTCTCTCAGGATTAAATAACATGATGCTCAAAGAGTGGCATAAGGGTAGTACCCATGACTTCTCATTCTGAGAGGATGGGTTTGCAATCACTCTTGTTGCAAGTTTATCTTTAGACTCCTTCAATCCAGACTGGTGCATTTGAGAAACTCAGGAAGCAGTTGTCTGTAATAGATTTTACATATTTATGGATAAATAAAACATATTTAGAAATTTGAGGTATTGATAATAGATCTAAATAATATTTTACTCCAGACTTTAACCAATAAATCTAAAGGATTAGATTGTACAGTTGTGATTGTTTCTTTTGACTTGATTTTCCTATAATTTCCTTGATTAAATTGTTAGCACTGTGTCTTTGCTTCACCCAAATGTGGCCATGGAAGGTTGGTGGTCAAATTTGTGCCTGAAATAATGTAGAAAGTTACCTGAAGATTTCCTTCACAAATAAATTTGGAAAATGACACTATGATCTTTATAGGGTTAGTGTGATTGCATATATATGGTTATGGCTCTTGACTTCAAACCACTTTCCCATCACCACTGTGGGTTCACATGTTGCCAGAGACTTTGAATTCTTTCATGTTAGGAAGCTATCCAGCTAGCTTACGAAATTACGAAATGTTGGTAGTTCTACTCAGATGCCTTGTTCATGTCAGAAATAATGTTGGTGGTCATGTGTTGGAGACTGCATTCATTTAATGCTGCCTTCCTCTGTTGATATTTGTTCTAATATTTTGATTATTGAAATTTAAAAAAAAGCAATGCATTTCATTTACAGACATTTTAGATAATGTGCTTACCTTGCTTTGAACATGTTAATGTGATTCTGATATCAAAATATTCTGCTTACAGAACAGAGCTTGTTCAGATTGCTTTATTGCTGATGGTTTTTCACAAAGAAATCTATAAAATCTTAATTATTGTGTTGATTCTCTAGTAATGTTTTCACTTGTAAATGTTGTTGTCTAGAAACTGATGATGAAACTTAAAATGTTACTGTGACCTTTAACACGAGAAAGAATGATATTTGTTAAAATGGTCAAAGCATCACCTTAGTGCAAACTGGTTAACTGGTATTAATTTAAATGTATATAAGGAGTTTTAAAACCTGTTACTGCACTGAGGTGGCAATTTTAATGTTGCCATTAAATTCTTTTTTTAAAAAAAAAAGGTAAAATTTCTCAAAATGTTTGCTAACCTTACCATCTCAGTAAGGATAATCATGTTTATAGTCAAGTCAACATGACATAGTTGCTTCAAATTGCTTAGCCCTAAGAATCTTTTGAGCTATGAGTCTTGAATTCTATTGAGAAGGTTGAATTATTTTATATAAAAAAAAATTTTTTTTGGATTAGCCAATATCTATAAAGAAAGTTTCCAGCACAATGGATTCCGAAATGCAGATTATATAGCATGTTACACAACCCAAGTAAATGTCAAATAACTGTGTTATGTTTTCATTTTGTATAACTTGAAATATTACTAAGTTTTCATTTCTCAAATGTCTGCTTTGATAGAAATTTAAGAGTAAGCTAAGCCTGTATATCGTCAAAATAAATTCCATATTGTCTGTTGAATGATTATTTAGGAACTATTTTTGCACACCTGAATAACACCTTTGTGAGCTTTAAGCATGGTTGGTGGAGGGAGTTGGGATACTTCTGTGACCATCATGAATTGACCATCATCAGACCATAAATGTTTTTTTTTTTTCACTGAAAGTACAGTTGTGATTTGAACGAACTTATTTACTGATGCCTAGTATGATAAATTAACTTGATTATTGAACCTTCATGCATTGTAGAGTTGTTACCCTTTAAAGGTGCAAATTAGACATATATTTTACCTTGTCTGTAGGATATAAGTTTTAATTCGATTTTAACCAAACTGTCACAGGACAGAAATGAAAATTGTGAATGGAGGTCAATGTAGGCCAGTGACTTAATTTTGCTGAAAAATAGATGGTCACTTGTCTATCATAGCAGATTCAGAAATAATGTTTGATTTATGTGCCAGTCACCAGTGTCAAAAAAAAAGTCATTCCAGGAAATGCAGTTAAAGGATTTGACCACTAAGATATGATAAAAAATGTGTAATTAGAAAAATGGCATAAAAACCAACTGTGCAAACATTATTGTGATTAATTTAATGATTCTCAGGTGAGCGATCTTGGGCCTTCATGATGATCTTGTTGAATTTGTTTGTGGTTAAATCAGAAAGTAAACAAAATATGGACCAAAAGATCTGTTTCACTTTATTATTCACAGATTTACAATATAAGTACAAGCATCACAAATTCATCAACAATGAAATATACTATAACATTATTATCACATGCAATAACATTTTTTTTTCCTTACTACAGTGTGTGTCTGTACACGATGACAGCCCAAAAAATAGTAAAATGCTGATTTTGTTTGTTTCGTTCTAACTTCATGATACAATTAATGAGGCAGGCTGTGATCTCTAACACCATGCAAGCAAAAAAGAAAATTAAAAAAAAAATGATAAACATACTTGTGTTCAGTTTTGATAAAAGAAAATGTAAGTAAATATTTATTACTTAAAAGTAAAGAAAGAAAAACCTGTACATGTAAGTAGTTCAGTGACCAAGAGGTATATTTTAAGTGGTCTACCTCTCATCCCAAGAAACATGGGTATGAACCACTATTTCTTCCTCATACAACACCAGGGTCTGACAATGTAAGCTTAATTTTTTATTAGGTATTTGATTGGTCATAAATTGCCACAGAATTTACACTGACCAATGAAAATCATGGGATTTGTGACAGTACTCAGAAAAAATAATTTTATATTCTTTAGGTCAGTACTCTGGTAATTTTCAAGAAATGTGCTCCATTTGTTAGCTTCAAGCTTTCATCACAATTTCAGCTGAAATCAGTATGTTTAAAATTTATTGCCTATAATACATAATTTATACACTATCTTTATTGCAAGGAAAAGGGATTACTAATTTTATAAAAAAGACTCCTTCCGATCTTTCGAGTTAGCATTGCCCATTGAAAATGTTCGATGTTTAAAGTTAAAAATTAAATTAAGTAGCCAATAGTTTACATGCTATACAGTGCTTAATGATAAAATATTTTAGAAATAAATGAGTTTTCTTTTTGTGTCGCCTCTACGGAGTAGTGGCGACATACAGGGATCACTTCTCCGTCGTCTGTCTGTCCGTCTGTCTGTCTGTCCGTCTGTCTGTCTGTCCGTCTGTCCGTCCGTCCGTCACAAAACTTGTCCGGACTACTCCTCATAAACTACTGGTGCAATTTCATCCAAACTTTACAGGAATGATAAGTACCAAGTCTAGTTGTGCATATTGTCAGGATTTTCCGGTTCAATGATTTTTGTCAAGAGTTATGGCCCTTTAATAATTTATAATTTTAAAGTTTGTCCGGACTACTTCTCTTATACCACTAATGCAATTTCAATGAAACTTTACAGGATTGATCTGTAGCTCAAGTCCTTGCGCATATTGCACGGGTTTTCCGGTTGAATGATTTTTGGCCGAGTTATGGCCCTTTGATAAAAAGGTCTCTTTTTCTGTGTGTTGCCAGATACACAAAAGCTTGTCCAGACTACTCCTCATAAACTACTGGTGCAATTTCATCCAAACTTTACAGGAATGATCAGTACCAAGTCTAGTTGTGCATATTGTCAGCATTTTCCAGTTCAATGATTTTTGTTTGAGTTATGGCCCTTTAATAACTTTTATTTTTAAAGTTTGTCCAGACTACTTTTCTTATACCACTTATGCAATTTCAATGAAACTTTACAGGATTGATCTGTAGCTCAAGTCCTTGCGCATATTGCACAGGTTTTCCGGTTGAATGATTTTTGGCCGAGTTATGGCCCTTTGATAAAAAGGTGTTTTTTTCTGTGTGTTGCCAGATACGCAAAAGCTTGTCCGGAAAACTCCTCATAAACTACTGGTGCAATTTTATCCAAACTTTACAGGAATGATCAGTACAAAGTGGTTAGTCTAGTTGTGCACTGTCCGTCTGTCTGTCCGTCTGTCACAAAATTTGTCCCAACATGAAATTGGCCATCATGAGGCGACACATGTGATTACTGATCGCTCTTGTTAACATATATAGCTTACATAATCCAAGACTACAATTTGTACATTAATTTAGAAAGTTAAAACAACATGTGTTACATTCTCATTACATCAAGAAAAATATTGACAATCTTATCTTGTATGATTAATTTCATTTTAATTAAATTTTTTTTACATAAAAAGTCTGCTGAGATGAAGTATTATGTACAGTTTACATATATATCATGGCTGAGACTATCAATAATTATGACAATGGTCTTTTTTATATGCCTTGATAAAACAGGTCTTTTGTAATTGTCACTTTAGTGCTAAATGTTTGTATTTTCCGATATAAATCAAGTCATTTAGCATTTTCTTAAGATTTCTCAAAGTTTGACATTTACTCAATTATGAAATTTCTGTAGTTTCATCAAATACAGGGTTTTAATTATTACGAAGGCGTATGGTCATTGTAAGTTGGTGAAGGGGTTCTACTTCCTGTTTGCCCTGCTAAAAGACGTGTGTTACAAGAATAGTCACTATCTGGATGTAGTTCGTTTCCAAGCCCGTTCCGTATTCTTCTATTTGCACCGGTTTGTGGCGATGGAGTGCGGGAATTGTACGGAGAATATCGCGACACGTGCGTCTGATGAGTTGATGAAAGTTCTAAACAATTTCCTTGTTTCATAAGCATGGTTTTGTATTTCTTATTGTCAAGTTTTGTAACTATTCTAGTAGTACCGGGACATGAAAAGGAATTAAAGTCATTTTCTCTTAATAGTCTACGGCAGAATGTCCGAATAAATATTACACGGAATTTTTGTCCGAAGGCACAATATAGAAGAAAGTTGATTGCACTGTTAAAAGTTACAAGAAAGTTCCTTATTGAAGACAGAACTTTCCAGCCGAACGCTTCGACACTTGTTTCATTAATTGAGTAAGCGATGTTATAAACTAGAGCCGGGACTTGACAGATCATAAAAACTATTACAACACTTACTAGCATTAATGTTACATTATTTTCTCGTGATTGTCGAACATTCATAGTTATTTGTTGTTTTCTTGAACGTTTCACCGCGTGAACAAGAAAAGTATTGAGAATTGCTAGTAGAGATAACGGCACTATTAACATTACAAATGGATAAAAGTAAAGGTAGTATATTTTCTTGAAGATATCACTTTCACCAAAATCTGTTTTTGAAAAACTTGTTTTATGTATAGTTGTATTTTGGCTGGTTGTTTCCGAAGTTTCGATTATTTTAAACTCAAACCAGCGACATAAATTAAACAGGACTGCACAAATTGACACGATAGCTATAACTACACGAGCACGTGCTGTTGTACACATTGAAGTTGCACGTAACGGATGACACACAGCTATGTAACGCTCCACTGTAAAGGACACTGTAATCCAAACAGTGGTAGTCTGGGCAATTAAAGCTATTGGATATATATAGACAACTATATATGGCAATACTTCAGAAAAATACGCTTTTGACAATTCGGGTAGTGTAATAAGAACCAGCGTTCCACATAGTACTATCATATCCCAGATAGCCAAACCTGTTAAGAAGATATTTGTTGAGGAATGCATTGTGGGCCTTGTTAGCACAATGACTGTCAGAAAATTCCCAATCAACCCTAGAATGATCACAACAACGGCAACAATGCCTTCAATATAGTAAGTAATGTTTTGGAAAAGAATGATGTCCATGTTTTCTCCTGTATTGTTGACCGTATCTATTGTCTCCACCATTGCTTTTAACCTCTTATCTGGTCTTTAGTTGAACACATTTATGTTTTCCAGTTTCTTATGCTTCCTTTAGGTTGACGTTTACTGCCGCTGGAAAAACAACAAGATTAATGTCATGTTAGTATTTGTCATCATGAAAAGTGTTATTCAGGCTTTGCCGTACATCTTAATGATGTAAAGTCTTACATCTTAATGATGTATTGTATGATATTTCAACCCTATTATTGTAATTATTGTGCCAGTTTAGTATTTGAAGCCGTCAAGTAATTAGAAAATTTGTCATAGACATTTCCCCAATGGTACATGATACATATGTTATGAAGTAATCTGAGACAGTATGTACATATATAATTACTGCCAAAATTAATTTATTGATATTTCTTCATTCTATAGTAGTACAGACCCATTTGGATTCTTTCATGTGAAGAAGCTATCCAGCTAGCTTACAGAATATTGGTGGTTCTCCTCGGGTGCCCGTTCATGCCTGAAATAATGCAATGAAAGTGCACCTGAGATCTTCCTCCACCAGTAAAGCTGGAAAGTTCCCATATGACCTTAGATACTGTGCTGGTGCAATTTAAAACACAACCAGTAAAAAAAAAATCACAATAATGTATGATTTAAGATAGTTCAGTCAGTAATAGATTAGCAGTAGATTGTACCAGACAGATTAAATTGTACAGGACAGATTAAATTGTACAGGACAGATTAAATTGTACTTGACAGATTTTAAGTTTCACAACGCTGAGCAGTGACCTAGTGATAAAGGTGTCTGCTTCTAAAGCAAGCAATCATTGGTTTGAGCTGAACTGGGATCACATTAAAGGTGTCTGCTTCTAAAGCAAGCAATCATTGGTTTGAGCTGAACTGGGATCACATTAAAGGTGTCTGCTTCTAAAGCCAGCAATCATTGGTTTGAGCTGAACTGGGATCACAACCATATTTTATCATGTGACCCAAACACTGGTAAGTTCCAGAAAAGCGAACTCAAAAGAGTTGTTCAAAATATGCTTCAAGATTTCATTACAATCAAGCTAATATAAATATGTTAAAGGCACATTATGCCTCAGAAAATACTAATTTTGTAATTCTTTGGAAAGGTCAGACATACGTGCTTTAGAATATTTTGATAATGAATTTAGAGTTTCTGGTAGATGTTAAACAACAGCAGAAAGTACTGTTGAATGTGCAGTGATGTGTTGCAAAAGTTACAAAAGTAGCAAAATATAAACAAAGTAGTATTTTGACTTCCATACAAAATACTAACTCACTATAATAAGAAGGGAAAGATAGTTAATCTATATAGCCAATGAGAAATATTTTCAAAACTGTAAAAAATACCAAAAAAATAACGGTTTTTAGAAAGAAAAATGATAGCGTTTTAGGGGTTTAATCGGCCTTTAAAACACTTTGAAATTCATTATACCCCAGCACAACAAAGATGTAAGGGGGGTACACCAGGTCAAAGGTCAAGGTCACAGGGGCCTTGACTTCAAAAAGCTTGTCCGCCCAATAACTTAAGATTCCTTTGACCCATAGTCTTCATATTTGGCATGGAGGTTAGTCATGATTAGTAGATGACCCCTATTGACTTTGAGGTCACCAGGTCAAAGGGCAAGGTCACAGGGGCCATGACTTCAAAAAGCTTGTCCGCCCAATAACTTAAGATTCCTTTGACTCACAGTCTTCATATTTGGCATGGAGGCTAGTTATGATAAGTAGATGACCCCTATTGACTGAGGTCACCAGGTCAAGGGCAAGGTCACAGGGGCCTTGACTTCAAAAAGCTTGTCCGCCCAATAACTTAAGATTCCTTTGACCCACAGTCTTCATATTTGGCATGGAGGTTAGTCATGATTAGTAGATGACCCCTATTGATTTTGATGTCACCAGGTCAAAGGTCAAGGTCACAGGGGCCTTGACTTCAAAAAGCTTGTCCGCCCAATAACTTAAGATTCCTTTGACCCACAGTCTTCATATTTGGCATGGAGGTTAGTCATGATTAGTAGATGACCCCTATTGACTTTGAGGTCACCAGGTCAAAGGGCAAGGTCACAGGGGCCTTGACTTCAAAAAGCTTGTCCGCCCAATAACTTAAGATTCCTTTGACCCACAGTCTTCATATTTGGCATGGAGGCTAGTCATGATAAGTAGATGACCCCTATTGACTTTGAGGTCACCAGGTCAAAGGTCAAGGTCACAGGGGCCTTGACTTCAAAAAGCTTGTCCGCCCAATAACTTAAGATTCCTTTGACCCACAGTCTTCATATTTAGCATGGAGGTTAGTCATGATTAGTAGATGACCCCTATTGATTTTGAGGTCACCAGGTCAAAGGTCAAGGTCACAGGGGCCTTGACTTCAAAAAGCTTGTCCGCCCAATAACTTAAGATTCCTTTGACCCACAGTCTTCATATTTGGAATGGAAGTTAGTCATGACTATAAGGTGACCCCTATTGATTTTGAGGTCACTGGGTCAAAGGTCAAGGTCACAGGGACTTTGACCAAAAAAAAGCTTTTCTTCTCAATTGCTCAAGAATATCCTGTCCGCATTTTCACATTTGAAGCATGTAGAATACATAACTTAGCAATGCACTGGCTTAGTAAGCTCAGATTTGGCAGGGAGGTTGTCCTTGAGCTCTAAATGGCCACTGTTGATTCTGACAAAGTGGTATGCGGGGGTATTCACGCCATGATAGTAGCAGTTCTAGTTATTTCAGTTAAAGTCTCTTACATAACAACTTACTGCATATTTTCCTGTCACATTACAAAAAAAGAAAAAAGAACACGTTACCTAATTCAAAATGATTGATAGTGGTAAAAATTATTTTGAAACATTTTATCTTGTAATTCACAGCACTCACATTTAATATCTTGGTACAAATCTTCTCTGCTCAAGCCTCACTGTAGAATGGTCTCTCCTTTTAATTGTCACAAAAGATTATGGCAGTTTTTGATGATGAAATTGTTGTTATGGAAACCGATATTCCATTTTGATCCTTAGTCCATTCTTTTGATCCAAAAATGTATGCTGTTGCTTAATTATATTTGATTGTATCTTGTTTCTGAAAAACACAAAGAAAAAAACAACATTAAGGCAATTAGAGTTTTAAGAGTAAGGAAAGTAATGTTTTTATGTAATGTCAGAGGAGAGGGGATTAAAAGATTTCATACCATTCTGAAATCTATATATTTGAAATTTATAAGATGTGATGAGACTGTGTGAATTTGCCTCTTACATTTTAGCTGCTCAGACAGCTTCATTAAAGTCATAATGAAATTTTAAGCATTTGGGTACAGCTTTTTTGTTGATATCTACAAGTTCTAGACTCCCAGTGTGATCTGTATAACAGAATGAAATTCAAGAATTAACATGCTTGTCAATCAGCTGTTCAGACAATGCTGTTATTGCAATACTTTGATTTCTATGCCTTAAACTACAATACTTTGATATTCGTGCCTTAAACTACAATACTTTGATATCCATGCCTTAATTTGCAATACTTTGATATCCATGCCTTAGTTTACAATACTTTGATACCCATGCCTTAATTTGCAATACTTTGATAACCATGCATTAATTAACAATACTTTGATATATGTTCCTTAATTAATTTGCAATACTTTGATATCCATGCTTATTTTGCAATACTTTGATATCCATGCCTTAATTTGCAATACTTTGATATCCATGCCTTAATTTGCAATACCTTGATATCCATGCCTTAATTTGTAATACTTTGATATACATGCCTTAAATTGCAATGTTTTGATATCCATGCCTTAATTTTTAATACATTTATATCTGTGCCTTAATTTGCAATACTTTGATATCAATGCCTTAATTTGCAATACTTTGTTATCCATGGCTTAATTTGCAATACTTTGATATCCATGCCTTAATTTGCAATACTTTGATATCCATGCCTTAATTTGCAATACTTTGATATCCATGCCTTAGTTTGCAATATTTTGATATCCATGCCTTAAATTGCAATATTTTGATATCCATGCCTTAATTTGCAATATTTTGATATCCATGCCCTAATTTGCAATATTTTGATATCTGTGCCTTAATTTGCAATTATTTGATATCCATGCCTTAATTTGCCATACTTTGATATCCATGCTTTACTTTGCAATATTTTAATATCCATGCCGTAAATTGCAATATTTTGATATCCATGCCGTAATTTGCAATATTTTGATATCCATGCCATAATTTGCAATGCCTTAAATTGCAATACACTGATATCCATGCCTTAATGTGCAATACTTTGATACCCATGCCTTAATCTGTACAATTATGAGCATTGCCCTATTTGAATTTGGAACAAATCCAATGAAGCCTTAAGGGATTTCTTTATTATCAATATGATAAAAAAAATCAGTAGCTTATAGTGAAGAACCTGGTCAAAGACTGCATGGACTCTTGTAGTGAAAGCATCCTTGCTGTTGGCAAACGCAGAACTTTCCCTGTATTTCAATTAATTTTTTGTTCCAGAAATTGAAACCTGGATTGATATATTGAGCTTTATCCAATTATTGAATTAGAAAATGAAGGTTTCTTGATGGAGATATTATTGCATGAGTGATATTTTGTTCCATAGATAATGGGCGATCTCCTGACAAACTTACCGGCTTTTCTTTACTTTATGAGATGCCAGTTTGTTTTAAAGAGATGTATGGGAATTATATAAGCTGTCAGGATGGCATGAACTCGAGTTGTTTATTGCCGATATTCCAGACTAATATTGACGAATATTTGTCTAATACTTCATATCTTAATTTTCCTATTGTGCATTATATTATGTGCAATGACACTTGTGTTCTTTCAATCAATTTCTGCATTGATTCCGTATGCTAGACTTTCTTGGAACAGATTATTGCTATTTTTAAGGAGTTTGAAACTTAAGAAAATTGCTTTAACAGGCAAGATTCAAAAAGTTACAAGCCTTTGCCATTGTTGAAGAGCTTAGGGTAATGAATGATACTTAATTTAAACTAGGGATGGCAAAGAGTAACCGGTTAACCGAGTACTCGATCGAACGTCCGAATATCGGTTAACAAAATTGATATTCGATTACTCGGAAAAAATATTTATTTTCTACTTTTTTATGCGATTTAGAACGATTAGTTCAGAAATTCGGAAATGCACACATATCTGAATAAAAACTTGTTAAATGCAATCAAAACATCCTTTCAGAGGTGTGAAAATGATATCTTAAATTTTACGAGGCGATAAGCAGTTTGACACGCGTATGGGATTGAACACAGTCCTGTGTCGTTTACGTCATTCGGCCTCTTATGATATTTAATAACCTTTAAATATTAGACAGTTTGTAGCCGAAACTTGTTTATTATAAAAATGTAAATATATACAGAATATTATGTTGAAGCTTTGTATTTTGCCACGAGCAGCGGTGGAAAAATTGATATCTCGCGAGAATGAAGGTCGAGCGTAATATCTATTTTCCTACATTGCGACACGGATAAAACCGTGATTGCGAGTAGAAAAATGCATAGGCTCAGAAAGCTACTACAACATAATTTTCCTTTTATTATAAACCTTTTTGTTTGAATTATAAATGATTTTCATTATACTACACTTCTATAAGAAATTTCAGAATACTAAATGTAGCTGTCAAGAAATCAATCTATGACCGAGTTTTTGCCTTTTATAATTTTGGTTTCCGTTTCCAAATGCTACGTTTATACACAGCTAAGATAGGAACCAACGTCAAAAATAGTCCGGCACTTCCATATATGGTACCATATTTGTCACTAACTAATACGGACTTTTCTATCCGTTGAAGCGTATTTGCGCTTCAAGTTCATCCTGTATTCTAGGGAGAAAATTTGTAGGTACAATGTATATAATAAATGCTGTCATTGACATTTCTTATGTTTATATTTATATATGTATTTCTTGCAGTCCTATTTATAGTTACGAATTCTATGAATTAAAATTGAAAACGAAAGTAGCATGCAGACGGTGTTGATATTGTGTGATAAAACTTTAAATATCATTGGAAATGATCCGAGTAACCGAGTACTCGATCGGAAAAATGACCGAGTACTCGAGTATTGATTTTGGTATTCGTTGCCATCCCTAATTTAAACTAACAGACATTAACGCTTTTTTGTAAAATAAAATCTTGTGCTTTTTCATTATTCTAAAATCTGTCTTTCTAGTAATTTCTGGACTTCTTTTGTTGAGTTATCTGATAATAATGATAGTCAGAAGGTGCTTTAATTGACTTAATAGACCATTCTAGGAAGACATTTTTGCAGTCGATGTGACAATTCTTCATTTCATAATGAATGGTTACACTGAATTTAATAACTGTGATTGTAGGGTTAAAGATTTGAGCTTGATCCTGTAGGCGTTATTAAATATAATTAAAAAAAATGAACAAAAAATGTAGAAGACAACTAATTTCTTTAACGGTTAAAAAAAAGTAATTACTAAAAGGATATTAGAGGAAATGGCATGATTTCTGCGAATTTTTGTTATTTGAGAAAACTGCTATGATACATTCTTGACAATGATACATTTTTGACAAAGGTATTAATAAAAATTAACTCCATAACATTTGAATCACCACTTTCACATTAGACATTTGGTATTACATATGAGGGGTGCGCAATATATTTTGTCCAATTATAAATACAAAGACAAATACAGTACTAGGACACTTTATTTTTGTTAATTTCCTTCAAAGTACTCTCCTTTGTGAGAAACACACAACTTCAGCCTTTTCAGCCACATTCGAAATGCATTTTCAAAGTCCTTTTTAGGGATGCGTAGCAGGCACTGATGAATAGCGGATCCTACGGCACTTCGGCTTCTATATTTTCGACCTGAAAGCTTTCTTTTAAGTCTAGGAAATAGAAAAAAGTCGACAGGGGCAAGGTCAGAAGAATACGGGGGGTGAGCAAGGGTTTTCACTTTCTCTTTTGCCAGAAAATCATTCACAATCGTTGAGGTATGTGCCGGCGCGTTGTCATGAAGTAAACAAACACCCCTGAGTCCAGTAGCTGGGCGACGTTTACGGAAGGATTTTCTCAACTTTTTCAAAACTTTTTGTTTGTAGAACCTTCGTGTGACAGACCGCCCCCTTGGCACTGAAACTTGAAGAACAATGCCATTGATGTCGAAGAATACTGCTACCATAACTTTCTTGACACTCAGTGTTCTTTTTGCAATTGTTGGCCTTCGAGCGTTTCTGGTGGCCCAAATTTTATTGTCTATCTTTCTATGTGGCTCAAAAAGTGTACCCATGTTTCGTCACCCATAACATTATTAAAACGCCGACGGTTAAATTCTGGAAACATTTTTAACAATTTCTTGGCACATCTGATACGTTCCTGTTTTTGTTCATAGGTGAGTAAATGGGGTATCCATCTTGCAGTGATGCGGCTCATTCCTAGTTTCTTCTTTAGAATTGTGCGCACTGACCCTTCTGATATCCCAACCATCTTAGCTATGTCAGTAGAAGTGTGTCTAGCATCCGTTTCTAAAATTTCACTGACATTTTTAATGTTTTTAGGGGTCGCCGCAGTCGGTTTTCTTCCACATCTTACCGCATCTTTGATAGACTCAACACCAGTTTTAAACTTAGCAATCCAGTTTCTAACAAGTCTATAGGAAACTTCACTATCTCCATAAACTTGACAAATTTCATTGTAAATTGTTTTCGATTCAATTCCAAGTTGATGACGCACTTTGATATAACTCCGAATTTCAGAGGAATGCAAAGATCGTTTCCCAACTATTGTTTTACATTAGTGGGTATGACCGCAATGTTTTAAATCGCATGTATATCAACTAAAACACATTGAAATAAGATAAAACGGGTATGTATGTAAAGCTTAATGCATTGAAGCGTATGATAAGTATAATTTCATGAGAATTTCGTGCAGAAATTTAAAACAATCCGTTACTGGACAAAACTTATTGCGCACCCCTCGTATATCCAGTAGTAAAAGACTAAATTAAATTATGAGTTATGGTTTGATTATTTAGTTAAAGATTGTTGGTTATCTTCAGGCGCTGTGCTTA